TGCACACAAATAAAAGGGAAAAGAATATTGGTAAGTGATAAACAATTTTTCCATTTAGCTCTACAGAGGCCTGGTAACAAGCAATTCATTTGATTCAAGTCTATGGAACTAAATTGGTGCCATTAAGTTCGTTTAAATTCTTGTTCTGAAACTCACAATTTTGAAAAACAGAAAAGGGCTAAGCAACAACAAAAAAAGTTCAGAACTACGGCAACATATTAGGTCCACTGTACATAGAAAATAAATGCATACTTTTCTGCCCAAAAAAAAAGAAAAAAAAAAAGGAAGCATTAAGCAGGACAGAAGTTCTGGAAAACTGGGCCAACATGTAAAATGGGTCATTTTGCATGACTACTTAACTTCTAGTTGAATGTCTTCATACTATGACAATAACTACTAAAATCACAAACAAGAATCATAATACAAAATGAGAAATTTAGTGGTCATGTTGGAAACGTGTCTTTGTGTAAAAATCTAACAAATTTCAACAATAAAGTAACTATCCAAAAACAGTCACCGCATAAATCTGATTGGACATAATTATTGATTTGGAGAGAGGATTACTCACCAAGGAGGAAACCAGGAGGTGAGTGGCGACGACCGCAGCTACGGCTAACCAGCGCTGCTTCTCACAGCCGTCGAAAAAGATGATGCCCCAGAACATGTGAAGCAGGATGATGGCCATGGTCATAAAGGCTGAGGAATTTAAAAACAAACGTGAGGGATATTTTAAAAATCCTTTGTTTTGTTGGGAGTCTAACATTAAAAAAAAACACAAAAGTAAAGCATTTGGTCTATCTTCTTCTGCAAATATCTTAATACACTTGAAATATGACAAAACTTAGTGACAAGTAACTGTTCTTGAAGATATAGGAGATTGATTCAAGTAAATAATAATTTCTTATTGTTGTTGAGAAAGTTCTAGTTCCACTGGCAGATTATTTCACTTTCAACAAGAAATTTCTCCATGTTATAAGTGAATTATTCAGACGGACTGGGATGAGCGGGGGTTGCTAGGTAACGGACTGGGATGAGCTGGGGTTGCTAGGTAACGGACTGGGCTGAGCGGGGGTTGCTAGGTAACGGACTGGGATGAGCGGGGGTTGCTAGGTAACCCGTGCAATGTGACCTAACAAACGACTAATTTTCCTGTAAGACATGAGAAAAATGTTGGAAGTGAAATAAGCTGACAGTGGGACTTGCACTTTTTCATCAATAACAGGGAATTATTGATTAAAATAAAGCTCCTATATCTTGCTGATATAAACTATTAAATGAGTTTTATTTTATCTCAAATATACTAAGATATTTGCACTAGAAACTAATTAACATTGCTTGGTAAGAATGTGTGTTTTTACAGTGTGAGCATCAAACCTACATTCTCTACAAACTGAGGTTATTAAGTATAAATTGCTTTAGTTAAACTTCTGGTTTAGTTTTCAATGGCATTTTTAATGTTACGTTTATATAAAATTACGATAAATTCTGTAATAAAACAGAAAAAGATCAAGTCAGAAAAATAAGCCTGAATGTCTCAATTTGAACTCAGGTTTTCTATGAGATGAACATCTCTAGGCATTAATATCAGAGTTTAAAATGCGGAGCATTCAGGAAGTGGTACCTGATGACAGGAAGTAGTGTTGAGAGTCGCCGTGGATGCCCACAGTGCCTGGACCCACAGAGTCGGCCAGGATGTTGACCACAGAGAACGCTCCGCTCATAAAGCCGAAGCCGAGGCCAGACACTGTCACAGAACCAAAACAAAGCGTAAAAAGTTCCCTCTGGAAACCTAATATAGCCAAAACCTCTCTCTGTAAAAATGTTTTATTTACACAAAAGAATCCTAGACGCAACTTTTCTATTGTGTTTCTGGTACGCACATCAATCTGATGAAAATTAACCAAAACTGGTTTGGTTAATTTTCTCTCTGGGGATAATTTCTGCTAAAAAAAAAAACAGTCTGATTGGAGGCTGAAAAAACTGTTATTACATTCAAGTTGTGCTAAAAGGAATTCGCCTATCAACAAACCTAATTAAACCTAAAACAGCGTCTCAATGCTAGACAAATAGCAGCTAGCAAAGACGCTGACATTAACGTCATTAATTTTCATTTCTAAAGAAGCTCCATCAACGCTGGAAAGCTAAATATCTAAAAAAAAAAAAGCACTGTGCACCAATTTGATGGTGAAATAATCAAAGATTAAAAACAATAAATATCTTTGATGTTTATATATTTAATCGTTTTTGAATCACAAGTGTTACTTATGTTGTCACTCATGGTTTCTATTAAAACTAAATTAATTACAGACAATCAGTAATTCTAATTAAGATTCACCACTAATTATTATTTAAATGAAAGGCCAGCTGATCCGTACCGTAGGCGAGCTGTCGTATAGATATTGGCATCGTTTCCTCTTGACTCAAAGCAAGTAGGCCTTCATTTGCTTTCCTGTAGAAAAAAATACATTTGACATTTTCTCTCACTTTTGTCAAGAATATGTTTAAAAACAAGCTGCAAAACAAGTGGAGATGTTCCATTTTGTTTAACAGATAATGGAGTCGGTGTGGTAGAAAGACGCTGGAGCAGCTTACTTGAGCAGTTTGTAGTAGGCGAAGCGGAAAGTTTCCTGCAGCAGGACGGACAGCACCACACCGAAGATGAGCAGACCCTTCTGCTGTGACGCGCTCTCCTTGTTACTGATCTGAACCGAGATGAACCACACCAGGGAGGCCAGCAGCAGCGACACCAGCCAGAAGAATGCCCTGGGAGGAAAAAACAAACACAAAACGACGAGAAAAATCTCAGTTATAATCTCCAACATGAAAACATTAAAGAATGCATATGAGTTATTTTAGCAGAAAAAAAAATTATAAGCTTTTCAAGCAGAGAGGTAGATGGCTAATAAGGTAGGATCTCAATCGCTGCATTTATTTAATTCAAGTGAAAATATTGGTATTTTAGGAACAAGAATGGCAATAATTCCTAAAAGTAAAAAAATTCACAAAATCAGGCAAAAGAAAATGTTTCCAAATCAGTTTAATACAATACAAAACATGTTAGTTTTTTTTATTCAGTGGGTAGACAATCCAGAAACTTGCTCAACCAAGAGAAGCGATGTTTCATAATACAATTACTCAATTAAACGTAAAACATGCAGAGTAATGTAATGTATTCTGGGTGTTTCGCGATGCCAGTTTTCTAGTAAAGCTTTTGCAATTAGATCAATAAGTCAAACTTTGGTATTATATAATGAGATTACTTCCCAATATTTTCTACATTTTCCTCGTGATTAGAAACATTAAAAACATGCAAGACACTGAATATCAAGGATTGACAAGCAGTTAGGTATAGGCTTGTACTTGAATAAAGGAGATGCTGTCTGAGGCGTATTTCCAATATCGGACAAACTGTTAGCCTGCCTCTTTCTTCTAAATAAATCAAATTAATTAGTCTCTCTCTGATTGCAAATATATTGTTTTGAGTATAATCATGACAAACGTATGTCTTCTAATAGTGGTGAATGCATCCATGCACTTCAAAAGGGAAGTAAACAAAAGCTATCATTAGCAGCCCAAGACAATTAGCTAGCCGGTTAGCAGCGATAGTTAGCACGTTTTTATTTTATTTTGTTCAGTGACCTGACAGAAAAATACTCCATAAACTATTTTAGCACCAACAAAACCGTCAAATGAAGCTGCTTTCTGACCCCGCGATAAGGAAGATGACCCTCAGCGGCTCCCGGGCGATGGTGAACAGGAACAGGGAGACGGCTGGGCCGAAGGCGATGAACGTGCAGCCGAAAAACACCGCCGCCGTCATGTTGGCTCGGTAGCTCGAAGGCCTAGTGGCTCCAAAACCCGGTTCGGTTCTGTTCACAGCGAAACCGCAGGGGTTTGTCTTTATTTTTGACCAAGTAACCCCGAGTCTGAGCGCTGATTCTCCTTCCTAATTTCACTTCGGTATCACAGGATTCACAGGACGTCACGTCGCACTCTGTCACGTGACTCGCTGTGGAGGCGGGGGGAGGGAAGGGGGTAATTCATTTGGCCCAAGCAGCAAAGCGCTGCGAAGGCCTGTGGTTTTTGTACTGTTTATTACGGTTCTCCCTCCAAATGAATTTGCTTTTTGGAGCCTTTATCATACTCAAAAACTCACCAAACTTGGCGGAGGCCTTAAGCCTGTATAAAAATAAGACAGGGACCTGATCATTGAGCCCGCCCCCTCACGCAAAAGTGACGCAAAGGGGGTCGAATTTTCACGGACTCGTGAATGGAGGGTGGTTCGCATTTTAGCGTGTAATTGTAGTTCATAGGTTTGAAATTGTTTATCTCAAGGAATCTAAGGCGGGTCGCGAACCAGCGACCCACAGGGTCGCGCCGGTCCTCCGCAATATGTACCTGTACAGTAATATGAACTTATAAGAACTTAAGCCTTCTGACGCCTCAGTGTAACTGAACTGTTAGGCTGCTCTTTGACCTTTCAAAGACTAGCCTGAAATCCCACAGGAGTCAAAGTTCAAGGGATGAGCCCCTGCTATTCAGTAAACGTTGCATGCTTCAGATCAAAACAACTAAAAGCAGCACAACAAACTGATTCTGTGAACAGGATTTAAAAAGAACACACTTCCACTTATAATCAATGGTATCTTGTACTATAAATTGGAGGAAAAAAAATCACAATAAAAAATGCACAAGTATACTGTAAAATGTAATAGTATATCTTACTCTGAAAGAAAAGTGACTTTAATTCATTCTAGCTTACTCTGTTGACTATACTAACTTACACTTAGCAAAGACAACTTTCTACTGTGGCAAGTAATCAAACTCATCAGCAGCAAGTAACCCGAACCTGGAGTCATGAGTGAGCAAGACGCACCTGCATGACCAGCAGAAAACTCGGCATCATTCGGCAGCTCTCATTGAACGCACATGCGCAATTGGCCACTGACGAGTGACGACGTGTTTGAAAGAAGCGCCAAACTGTCAAAAAGACGGCGGTTGCTGCACCTAAATTTTGTCACGGTAAGTTCCACTGGTTTTTAGCAAACTTATATTCGTTATCTCGGCCGTATAATTCATCCGTATCTCCAGGTTTTGAGTTTAACTTTAAGTGTAATGATTTAGCGATGCCGGGGACTAACGTTAGTCGAAAATATGTTTTATTTAGTAGCAACAAGATGGCAGAGAAAAAAATTGTCCAGGGCGCAAAAAAAAAAAAAAAAAAAAAAAAAAAAAAGGATAAAGATGTTGGCGGGATTAAAAAAATCCTTTCAGTGTGGTTGAAAGTTAGTAGGCAAGCTAACATGGAAACAAAGTTTTCCATAGACTTTTACAGAAAAAAGAGAAATGACATGACTTTTTTTTCTAGGGTAGCCTTCAATCTAATATTGAATCCTTCAAATGGCCCTGAGTCTTTAAAACTTTGAGAATCCCTGCTTAAATGTCTTTGTTGACTGGCGTGAAACAAAAACTCAATTCTCAATAATAGAGCCTAAGATTTATCATAACATCAATTAAGTGAATAGTGAAGTAATGTTTCTCCTCATTAACATAAAAACATTTAGTAGTCTGCAAGTGCAATGAGGCTCCCACCGACAAAAAAGAATCAAACAGGAAATAAAAATCACTTTTCCACTAAGGGTAAAGGAATCAACGTTGATCCATAATGTCACATCACATTCACTCATTGCATCAGAAGATTTTTGAGTGACTATATTTTTGGTTTTAGGGATTTATGTCCAAGTGAGAGAAGCACCCTTTGGATGAAGTCAAAAGTGTACTTCAGTTGTTGAGGGTACTCCAAATTCAGAGCAGAAATAAGTCTACTGCCATCATTTTGGAAAGAAGTTTTGTCATGAATGACCTTGGAAATCTTCCACATGCCACGTGCTTGCTCTTTGGACTTATTTTAAATATTAAGACTACCACTTGTAGTGAACTTGACAAGAAAGAAAAAAGCCTTTCAGTGTGGTTGAAAGTTAGTAAACATGGGTTAGCTTGCAAGCTAACGTGGGTTAGTGTGTATGTAACCGCACTTGAGTTTAAGGTAAACTTGTTTAATTATTTAAAAAAATTTCCATTCAAAATGTTGTCTGTTGGCTCTTCGTTTCAATAACTTAACACTTTAGGTTCATCTTACTTGAACATATCAAGGCAATCGGTTTTCTAATATTTTGCAAGTAATGTGAACGCTTAAACGTGTAAGCATAACTTATTTTTATGAGTACTGCTTAATTGACATAACTCACAAATTGAAGTAGTCATAATTGACATTTTATAAGTATAAATAAGTTAAAACTCAACCTTACTAATGATTTTGAGTTACCTATACTCAGGTTTACTGCCATTATCTGAGTGGTCTAAACATAGTTATTTATAGCTATAACACCTTAACATGAATTAGTTACTTTACTTGGAGATTTTTAGGCAATCGGTTTCCTAACTTTTTACATTTTACAGTGCAAAATCCTGGTGGACAATGAGACTCAATCTGCCAGAGAACTATAGAAACAGAGAACATTTAGTTTTCAGCAAGTCAATGACCTGAAGAAGTGGCCGTGGAGGAGGAGGATGCAGTGACGGTGGGCAGGAGACGGAGCTTGTCTCTTCTGCACGTATGCTTTGAAAATGGCCATGTTGGTGTCTGGCTTGGCGTTGGCCTTTGTTGGTTGTTCTGCAGCGGATATCCCATTATTCCCCGTGGAATCACTGGGTTCTTCTGTACCGTGTGAATACATCTTTGCAGATGTATTAACTTACTTATGTAAAGATAAGAGACAGGAGACATTATTAATATTAACCAGCAACCAGACTGCCCTGCTCTGCCCAAACACTCAGAGAAAGAAGGGAGGAGGCTCCGCCTTTATTACCTTTTATAAGTGCGTAATCTTCCGCTTCACAAAATAGTGACAACATAAATACAATAGTGGCAAACATCATATTCAACAGCCTTCTTCAGGTAGCTGATGAGAGCTTGGGCCTTCCTGCTTGGGTCCTCATACACCTCCTTCGTGGACCTGCCTGGGTGTCTGTCACCATCAGACACCCAGAGTCACCGGTCTACTGGGCCTCCAGGAGCACGGCCTGGTTCTTCTGGAACACCTCCACAGCTTCCCCCACCTCCCTGATCTGGGAGGTGTACTTGAGGAAAAGGTGCTTATTGGCCAACAGCGGGCTGTCCTTCTCCTCTTCTCTCATCATGCTCCTGACCAGATACACTGCATAGCCCAGCGAGTTTTCAAGAAGTCACTGGAACCTCTGGCCCTGGTACTTCCCAAACTGAATCTTGCAGTGGGCCAGAACCAAGAACTGGTCAGTAGGATCCCCTCCACTGTGCCTCACAAAAGCAGTGGCCTCAGCCAGAACCTCCTTATGGCAGGCCCTCCCTGCCACAGCACCTTCACTCCGGTTTGCCTCCTCAGTTGGGCCCATAAGGAGTCGACCCTGAGGAGTTCTACGGAGAACTGGATATGCATGCATGTTCTGACAGGGAAAAAGCATAAATAAGTATTAAAAATTAAATATAAATACCGTTTTAATTAATAACACAATCATTACACTGGATTTATGTCACTTTTTCACTCAGCATGCTCTGAAGCAATACCACATAGCAGTATGATTTATTATAAAATAATGTAGGATATTGTCATTTGTAGCACTATTATGTTGCCCACATTATCTGGACAGCAGGACCTGGCAAAACAACGCTTTACTATAGGCGGACAAAATTCATTGTAATACATTTATTGATGACAAGAAATAACACATATTGGTGTAATCGTCTTACAGAATTATGTGCAATTTATGTTTTCTTTTTTTTTGGTGGTGGTGGACAAAATCACACACGAAGCCCCTAATATCGTTCTCCTCCCCACAATAACATGTTTATCTAACTTCGGGTAGATAAACACGAAATCTGATACACACTTAGCTGTTGCAAAGAAAAACATATTTAAACTTACCGATCGCCAAAGTATTTCAAGGAATTATCGATTAAATGATTCTAACTCTTCATCGTCAATGCGCCAGGACGTGGAAGGTGATTGGTTAAAGACTGAGCCACAAGCTCGGGATGTGATTGGCCCACCCGGATATAAAGGGTTAGGGTCAGGGTTATTTATATATATATGATCTTATGTTTGAATGAGGCACAATGCTGCAGCAGAAAGCTCATAGTTAAATCACAACATCCAGTACAACAAGGACACAGAGTCAGGTGTGAAGCACCACTCTGCCCACTTCGTGCCTGTGGTTATGTCTGCAGCACTGCAGAGATAATCATCACTTCCATCCATCACTTTGGATGGAATAAAAAGCTGCCTGTGGGTACTTTTACACAACACGATGAAAAAAGCAAGCTAAAAATTCTTAAATGCAAAACAGAAAGGTAACAGCAAGTCAGTCCTTTTTTTGAGGTAAAAGGAGAACAGAAACATTTTAGCTATTTAAGAAAACAGACGACAAAACTGGGACATGTCTAAACTAATAACAACCGCAAACAAACCGCAAAAAGAACTAAGAAAAGTGACAATATTAAGTATTGATCCTTTGCACGTAATGTCACGCTCTCAGAAACTTGGCCACGACCAACGTCAAAACAACCAATGCCCTCCACTTTATCATATTCAAAACCTCACCAAACTTGACCCAAAAAACTCACTGAAATCGATCCTTGTCCACCCCCCAACAGGAATGTGGTTCCATATTTGGTGTGTGTGTGGCCCAATTCCTCCACAGCACACCCTAGAATATCCTTAAAAATCAGCCTCAAGCCACAATTTATCAAAAAATTATGAAACTTGGCACACATTTGAAAGAGGAGTTTGATTTAGGTCAAAATCCTAGTGGCCAAAACTACTTTAAGCAAACGAGAGGGGAGAAGACTTGGGGAAAAGGTAAACTGGAAAAGCCAAGTAAACCAACGATCATCTTTTTGGACCGAACCAGAGAGAATCCACTGATTGGAGAACATGCAAACCCATGAAGGCAGAAGAACCCCGGCAGGGATTCAAACCCAGACAATTGTTCTATTCACAATTCTACAGTTTTATAGTTTTGAACTCCCCAGAGGACTCTAAGTGGAAACTAGAAGCCTGGAAAGTAGATTTAGGTGTGAACCTAACAATGGCAGAATGGCAACGTGTTTATATAAGAGCTTAGAAACAAACAATTAATTGACGTTTAAGGTTACTACAATATAAATGGTTAATGCGAACATATATTACACCAACTAAATTACATCAGTTCAACTCTAATATACCAGACATATATGCATAAAATGTTTGGAAGACAAAGGAACTTGGTTTCATTGTATATGGCAGTGCTTCTCAAATAGTGGGGCGGGCCCCCTTTGGGGGGCGTGTTGCGATACCTGGGGGGGCGTGTGATCCTGGGGAACAGGCTTTTTTTTGGCCGTACTAGTATAAAGTGTAATTGCGCACAGTAGGCGGCAATGGCGCTCTCATTGTTACTTCTGTCACGTTTGCGACAGTGCAACATTTTACGACTTACAAGACAACAGGTTTGCCTTGGTTAGCAGTGTTAAGTCAAAAAAGCTCCGACTGCGTTCTGTCTATGGCCTCCGTTATTCAAACAACCCCCAACATGATAAAGTTTTTCACAGGGATGAAAAGAAAAGCGGAGAGAGACAAGATAATGAAACACAGAAAGTCAACCGAAAGCTAAGAAGAGGAAACGACGAAGCGTATTTAGCGCTTGGCTTCACTGTGACTACAGTTGGAGAAGAGGAAAGACCGGTGTTTGCTGTGTCTAAAAATGCTCGCAGCGGACAGCATGAAGCCAAATAAATTAGCGTCACTTAAATACGTTACATCCCAATCACGCCGATAAGCTGCTAGAGTTTTTTCAGCGAAAAAAATGTTAATAAGGAAAAAATGTTATGCAGAGATGGATAGTCACGGTGGGGAGTGGGGGGCGCGAATAGTTCTTCTTGCTAGGGGGGGGGGGTAACGGAAAATAATTGAGAAGCACTGGTATATGGGAATGTAGGGAAATTCAAAAATTTTGGAAAGAAATAATCAATATCATAAAAGTTCTTATCTCAAAGGATGTCGCACTAGATCCGTGTTTTCTAATTTTAGGTTTGTATCCAAAAAATAATGTGTTTACCAAATGTGAACAGTTGTTAATTGATGTATGTTTACTTCAAGCTAAAAGACTGATAGCACTTTTCTGGAAGAACACATCAAGGCCAGGGACAATCCAATGGACCAGACAAATGCTGAAAACTTTACCACTGGAACGGATTACGTATCTCCAAAAAGGGAAAAGTGAACTCTTTGAAAACGCTTGGAGATCCTTCTGGAATGTTGTTGAAAGAATGGACTTGTCACAAGATGGAAATGTCAGTTAAAGTCGAGTTTAACGTTGAAATGGAATGTCAAACAAAGGAGCTTCAACAGTGGACTACGCTTCATGTAGACTTAAAAAAAGATATATGCAGATACATATGTAACCAAGAGGGTGTTTGTTAGTCTTGTTTGTATTTGTTTAAGGCAGTTGTATTTGTAAAAAGAAAAAAAAATTAAAACAATAAAAATATTGTTGGAAAAAATTGTTCTATTCACAAAAATAAATGTTTTAATCACATTAAGCAAAATTTAGAGCCAAATTAACTAAACAGTCGTGATTTCAGACTGTGGCAGAAAGCCGGAGCGCCCGGAGAGAAACCTGCAAACAGAAAACCTGTCTAATCTTTTTATTACATGAATTAGATAAGACCCGGTCAGATTTCTCCAGCCTCCAAATGGTCACTAATTGTGTCTTTTGCAATTTTCTCATATTCCAAGTTATTTATGTTTGGCTCCTCTCCAAAAGCGCCTTGGTCGTCTGGAAGAGGAGGGGCTGGAGAACCTGTAACATCAGGTGTAACCAACTAATGTTTCCTTACCTTTTCTTAAATGTTCAAAAATCCCATTTGATTCATGTCTTCACTGCAGTGGTTATCTGCAGTGAAGACATGATTGTTTTCTGCCTTCACAATTTGCTGTTCTCCCATCAGATAGGTGTAAAACTGGGTCGACTCTGGACCCTCGCAGATTACGGAGGGCAGACAGTACTGCTCCGTCCCGCAGGCAGACTGTGCGGGCACATCCACAGTCTAGATGGCTGTCTGGATGTATTCTGGTCCGCCTCGGGAGAAAAAACACCAGAACGTTGTTATCCGCCAAATGGTGTTCTTCTCCAAGGCAGACTCGCAGCCTGAGCAATGGCGTCTGCCTCCCAATTCCAACCAATTGTTAAAAAGCGTAACCATATCAATTGGAAAGGTTGCCGATGGCAGGGCAACCAAGGGGCCATTGCTCAGGAGCTCCAGGAAGTTGGCATCACAGACAGAGCAATTGTTGGCGCTGTACAATTCTCTGTCTGTGTCCCCGCCAAGTGAGTCCAACCAAACTAACAAGGACTCCAGCAAACATTTGACAGTGTGATCCCTTCCCATATCTGAAAACAGATTTTTCTCCTTCAGCTCTAGCAGAGCTGGGGAGAGGTCTGTTTCTGAGAAATGTCTGCCTGGATGGCGGACGGCTGCATGGATCAGACTTGCGCAGCAAGGAATATTTTGCTGGGCTCAAGCACAGATGACATCCGGAGTTGTCTTTGCGAATTACAAAAAAAGTTTTATTTACCTTTATACAAAAAGTCCGCCTGTCAACACTCAGTGCCTAACGCTACCCAGCGGAATGGAAAAAACGGTATACTGCCGAGCAAACGGCACGTTCCAGGAACACACCTCACAGCAACGCATTCACTAACAAAGAAAATATGAGTGCCAAAGATCAATACACAAGACAGACACAAAACCAAGTTCAGAAGGAATTAAGAAACTACAATGAACAATGAATGAACTTATCATAAACAAAACAAATTGGGTGGGGTACCTAATAAATTAATAAATTCGGTGTCTCTCACAAATAGATGATGCCTCCAGAAATACCCGTTCCTGGGCAAGACACCGTCCGGTGACACCCAGGTTCAGGAGGCTCTGGAAAGCGGCATTCATCCAACGACTGTTCAGTTCATTGGAGAACTTAAAGCAAGCCCGACTGGGTTTGTGTGAAAACAAACCCTGCTGACAGTGGAGAAGAAGAACTCTCCTCTATTAGGAAGAAACCTCCAGCAGAACCGGGCTCAGCACCAGCTGCCATCTGCCACAATCAACTGGAGGAGAGGGAAGACGGAGCAGAGACACAACAGCAGGTCAGCTGATTGGGAGAACTGTCCATGTTCGTGAACTCAGGTCAGCCAATGCCCTCCTCCATGAAGCAACCACAGCCAATCAGAATGCCAGACCAGGTGTAGCTTCTACAGAGAGAAAACAAAAAGTTTAGTTTCTAACTAAGCTTCTTGGTTAGTTAGAAACACCAGAGAGTCACCTTCTGGCCTCTCCAGATCAGTTCAGGTCAGAGAAGGGAACTGTTTGTCTTTCTTTTTCCCCTTATCAGCCTGGTGCGCCACTGGGTTTTATTTTCCCCCCCATCAGGCTGTGGGTTGTTATTTTAAATAGGGATACACCGGTACGCCTGTCACAATAATAATTGTTGCTGAGCAATTAATTGTCTCAAAAATTATTACGATAAACGATAGTATTGTTTGGAGAACTTTTTACACTGAGTTAATGGAAATTAGGTAATAATACATGTGATTTCCTGCCAAAGATGGATACTTTATTTTCAAAAGAACGCTTAATGCTGGAACTGATAAAAACAAAACAACCAAAAATAAAATGGATTCTCAGTCTCCATTTACAAAAAATGTACTTGAATAAAATCTAAACAACATAAAGCCAAAGTGGAAATAAATACTGCATTCAACCAAAAGAGTGCAGATTATGAAGTCTGTATACTATGTCGCCCTTCAGTAATCATTAGATTTAAATATAGAAGACAGGCATATTCGACTGCCTGATGCAATAGCTCACACTACACGATTTTTAGCCCCAATCTTCATCTTCATGACAACCTTCGAACGTTGGTCATTCAAAGGTTGTCGCTTGCGATTTTGTAATCGATCATCATGTAGTGTGTGGTGTGTTATGGTAGGTCGTTGTGGCCGCACCTATCTAAATCGAGTTTTTCCCGACTGTTAACACCATTAATGTTTATTCAACATTTCGTGGAAAAAATATAGAAATTACAATATGGCATATAGAGTTGGAGCGAAGTTGATAAACCGGAAACTTCTCAGCTGTTCATCGTTAACGTGACATAAATAGTTTATAATGATTTTCCTTCAGTCAGGGCTTTACGCTGACAGTAGCCACTTGCATTGCAGGCAATGATTAATTGATTAATGGTTTTAAAATTGGTTAACTGGACTTGTAGCCATTATTTTGTGCCCATTGTTGGACACCACATGACGGGATCAAACCATTATGCCTAGGATCTCTGTCTGCTAGCCTGTGGTCTCGCAGGTTTTGAACATGGGCAGACAACTGTGGTCTTGTAGTGTGCGCTGGGAATTTCACTAAGGAAATGAGGAAGGGAGGGTCGGTGGACCCTGAATGGGAGAAAAAGGCCTGAAGAAATGATTAAGCCAATAATTAAAATAAGGTTGATAGTTTTAATTTATTTTGCGATTAATTGATTTATTGTTTATTGCGACAAACCTATACGCCAGGGACAGTAAAGACAGATTAAGCTAAAGGTTTAGAGTTTAATGAATGTCAAATAAAAAAATTATGTAAATTAAATGGCAACAGTAATGATTAGAACCAGAGTACTTAATCAGATAAAGCCCCTGCACTGCAGTATTTTATAATAATGTAACATCAAATATTACAGATTATAATAATAGGAGGGAGTTGTGTTAATTGTAATATCTGATACCAGAATTTTCTTTACAGAACTCATAGCCATCGGACATCAGACAATATGGGGCAGCACAGTGAAAATATTTAACTGTTCTAATCTTCCTTCACCTCCCAGGTTGCAGTTTGAGCAGCTGCTTAATGTGAGAACCAGAAACAGGAAAAAGATCCTCCAAGTTTAGACATGACAGCTGCTTGGAGGCTTTTTCTGGTCCACCAGCAGCCAGCCTCTCCAAAAGAAACGCTTTCAAATAGTCAGGATCACTAAAGGTCAGGAAAAAAATGACAGGAAATTCTCACCAACTGGAAGGAAAACATGCATAAAAATCATGGATAACTGAGGACTCATTCTGCATGTTTAGTCATCAAGCAGTTTTTCTTAAACTTTGCCCAGATTATTTAACTAAACTGAGCTAAATCAGTCAATGCTTCACTATTGAGCAGAGAAGAAATTCCTCAAATGTTTGTTTCAGGCTCAGCTGCTGCAGTCAAACTTTGGGCCTTAATTTCAGACAACTGGCCCTGTCTCACACACACACACACACACCCACACACACACACACACACACACTGAACCCAACGTCTATAAAGACACCAGAAACCCGTGGAGGTTCAATTCATCTCTTTTCACCCACAGACAGCAGGAAGGAATCAGCTGCAGGGAAGATGGCTGAGTAAGTCTCTGTTTAACGTTGACTGTCTTTGATTTAAAATAAACCCCCGAAAATCTGTTCCAAAGCTTCACATTATCCGTTTTGTTTGGAAAGGAAGAAGATGTCGCTGAGCCGCAGAAATCATCTCAAGGTATTTCTAATGTTGGTGTTAATCTGCCTGGACTTCTGAGGTTTTAAATTATTTTACTTCTTGGATGCAAATAGTGAATCAAATCAACATTTAATAAAGTTTCCTTGCAGAATTCTGGTTTTTACCTTTTTCAATTCATAATTAAATGTTTCTACCACAGTGTATTATGGCCATTGCAGGGAAAGAAAAAGGAGTAGTACATTTTCAGAAATTCACACATTTTTCACATAACATATCTGAGACTAATCTAAAAAAATTCTGATTTCTGACTCACGCATTTTCTTCCTTTGAAACTCAGAAATGTCTTAAGTTTCTCCTAAAAAAATTCTGAGACTGATCTCAAAATATATATTTTTCAACAAACTTACCACTTTTAAAACTCAGACATTTCAGAAATTTTGTCCTATAAAATTTCAAAAATTAATCTGAAACATTCTGAGTTTGTTCTCACAATGTTTTACTTAGGTTAAACCCTCAATGACCATCATTTTAATTGATAGATGAAATCATTAAAATTTCTCAGGATGTCTGAGACTAATTTTTTTAATGATCTAAAACCTTCCAGTTCGACATTAAAGCATATGGAGAACAAATCTAAATGGGAGTTTTTGATCAGGCGTTTGGACAGTTTTAGCTGCACGTTTCCATTTCTCCTGTCAGAGTCTGCTGCTCCAGATCGGCAAAGAAATGCTGGAGGAGGAGGCCCGGCGCGCTGAGGAGGAGAAAATGGCGTACATGAGGGAGAACTGCCCCACCCTCTCCTTCCCACAATGCACCCTGGACCTACAGGTAAACAAACTGAACGTGTTATTTTGCTTACAGGTGGAGTCATTAACATAGTTGCACAAACCTTGTAATCCAGATAGGATTTCTACATTTCTTGAAACTGATGACAGATTTTTTGTGTAATTTTTCAAAGTGGTCCAGGATTCCTGATGCTCTTTAAGTATTTTTTTGTGAATTTGATTGCGTTTTTAGCCCCTTAACTCTGAATAAATGCTGAAAAAGAATAAAAACATTTAAAAAGTTTAGGCAATTTGCCTTTTTTCTCAAGATGAATTGAAATTATTTTTTTCAAAATAAAAGTTTGAAATACCTGTGCCTTTTTCTTTTGTCTGTATCTTTAAGTAATTTCAAACTTTCCACACATCATGCATTAGCTATATAAGCTAATGCAAGTTTAATTAGCTGGTTATGCTAATTTAACTTGCCTAAGCAGCTTATTAGCCAAATCGGTCAATGCAACTGGTATAAATCTAAATTCTCAACATGCTGTGAATGTCAAAATAAAGATAATTGTTAAATCTTGCTAAAAAGTTTGATTTGGGCATTAAAAATACCTAACCTGTGACAATTAAATAATCAGCACATTTTTCATTAATTTAACACCAAATGGTTGAAGACAACTCTAATCCTGTTTGTGCTTTTTAACCAATATTTGGGTTGGCTGCTGTTATATATATCCAAACAAGCCGAGGCATAAATTATCCAGAGGATTGAGCTTCTTTTGGACCATAAAGCTCAGTGTTGCTGTGTTTCACCAGGAGCTGTGTCGGCAGCTTCACAAGCAGATCGATTTGGTGGATGACGAACGATATGACATGGAAATGAAAGTGAAGAAATGCAACAAAGAGGTTTTTCTATTTCATAAATAATTTTTTATATATTAATGTTTCTTCAATAATTTTGAAAAAAAATTTTTTTTTAATCATTTATATTGTTAGATTTAACATCATAATGCAATAAAATGGTCAAACCGGATAATTTAGATGCCTACAATTTGGTTTAAAATGCCATCTGGACTGATCGTCATCACCTGACTGAGTATTATCTGTGCCAGATCGACGACCTGAAGATGAAGGTCCAGGATCTGAACGGCAGGTTTAAGAAGCCCACTCTGAGGAGGGTGAGGATGTCTGCTGACGCCATGCTGGCTGCCCTGCTGGGCTCCAAACATAAAGTGTCCCTAGACCTGAGAGCCAACCTGAAGCAGGTGAAAAAGGAGCTGAAAGAGGAGGTGAGAGCAGCACATGCTGTAAACTTCAACAGAAAGACTGTTTATGACAGAACTATGAAAGCTGTGTTTATGTTGCTGTCAGGGGAAGCAGACGGGCGACTGGAGGAAGAATATTGAAGATAAATCTGGGATGGGCGGGAGAAAGAAGATGTTTGAGGCAGAGGCTTAAATGATATTGACTTCTATGTTTTTTAAAAAGGTAATGCATTACAATAAATACTTAATTGTACAAGTAATTTGATCTTTTTGTTGTTTTTTTAAATTAAATAATAAATTACTGTTCCTTCCTTCCTCTTTTACTTCTTTCCTCTTTTCTTTGAGTTCTTTTTCCTTTCCTCTCTCTTGTCCTCACACTTGTCCCTAACTTTTTGCTCTTATTTTTTTTATTAAATATGAATATTTTATTTGATGACAAATTGAAATAACTAGATTTGATTGAATTATCTGGTTGTTTTTCCCAGTTTAACAAACGAAAGTTACTACTGTAACTACGGTTCTATGAATCCCGGAAGACCGCCAGAGGCGCTGCTTCAAGCACTGAATGATCATTCTTGCGCATGCGCAGGTCGAGTACTAATGACAACAAAGTCACCTGTGACCTGCCGGGGACCCACGTGACTCTATATAGTCACATGACACCCAGCATTCAATCCCTCCATCTTCTCGCGAAGAGCAAGAATTCCGAGGGACCAAGCACTCTGGCGGTCATCCGGGATTCATAGAACCGTAGTTACAGTAGTAACTTTCGTTCTATTTCATCCCTACTGACCGCCAGAGGCAGCGCTTCAAGCACTGGATGACTCATAACAACAAGGTCACAAGGAATTGGCAACATCCAAGGGATAACCACCACACTACCCACCTCAATGTGATGTAGGGTATGCTGCTCCAAATTCCTTGAAGGGGATGGGGCGCAGCCACATTCACCCTGTAAAAACCGAGTAAAGGTACTAGGCGACTTCCAGGAGGCTGCACGGCATATAACGTCCAACGGCACCCAGTCATGGCTGCAAACGAGGTCGACATTCCCCTTGTAGTGTGGCACCTCACACCTGCCGGCAGCCTCTGGTCCTGCAAGGCATAAGCCTTGGAGATCAAATCCACCACCCAGTGTGCAAGACGTTGTTTAGAAAGCGCTTGACCCCTCCGTGAGCCAGCATAGCAAACAAAAAGGCTATCTGTCTTTCAAGGATGCCGTGGCATCGATATATGCCTCAAGGGCCGAACAGGGCACAGTGGCTCAGAGGAGCCCCCGGTGCGAAACCGAGCAAGATGGAGCGCCTGGGTACTGCCTGCCGCCTGTGACACCTTAGGAACAAATGTTACATCCGGCCACAGTGTAACACCTGAGCCATCCGAATTCCACCGGCAACAGGGCTCAGCAATCGAGAGAGCCTGTAATTCCCCCACACACTTTGCGGAAACCATCGCTAAAAGGAACGCTGTCTTCATTGAGAGCCATTTGAGGTCCGCAGATGCCAAGGGCTCAAATGGGTGGGACTGAAGAGCATCAAGCACCAGGGAAAGGTCCCATGCCGGTGCCACAGGACGATTGGGTGGGTGCAAACGTCGAGCACCTCTCAAAAATAGCACAACGTCCTTGTTCCAGCCCACTGAACAACCATTCAGACCGGCATGCCAGCAGGAAATGGCAGCCACGTACACTTCAAGGTAGATGGAGACCTTCCCCGATCCAGTAATTCCTGCAGGAAGGTCAGTATGTCAGAGACCGAACACTGCACCGGATCTTGCCCCTTTTCATGGCACCAGGTTGCAAAGGTCGCCCACTTGTTGGCATAGACAGTTCGCGTGGATGGCGCCCATGCATTAGCCATTGTACGTCCTACCGACCCAGTGTATCTGGAGAAAGTGGATCCCGGCCTTGCAGGGGCCAAATCCAGAGTTGGAGCTGGTCCGGTTTGGGGTGCAAAATCCGACCCCCATCTGGGAAAGAAGATCCCTCCTGGAGGGGAGACGCATTGGTGAGCCTGAGCTGAGCTCGCGAAGGAGAGGAAACCAAGTCCTCGCTGGCCAGAAGGGGGCCACCAGCAGAACCCTGTGCCCTTCCTGACGAATCCTCAGGAGAGTCTGGAAAAGTAGGCTGAACGGTGGAAAGGCATAAAGGAGGGTCCGGGGCCAGTCGTGTGCCAGCACATCGTGGCCCGGAGGACCGCTGTCGTCCAAGGAGAACCCAAGGGGACAGTGAAATGCGTCCCTCGAGGCAAAAACAGGTCCACGTCCGCCCTGCCGAAGGCCTTCCAAATGAACTCCACCACCTCTCTGTGAAGTTTCCATTCGCCTGGAAACGGCTTCTGGCGGGATAGAAAATCGGCCGACATGTTCTGTGGCCCGGGGATGTAGGCTGCCCTGAGGCTGGCCAAGCATGGGGCTGCCCAGATCAGGAGCTGCTGAGTCAAGTAAAAACAGTTTCCTGGACCTGGTCCCCCCCTGGTGATTGATGTGAAAAACCACCGAGGTGTTGTCTGACCTCACCAGCACATGCTTCCTCCGCAAGCCTGGAAGAAAGCTCCGGAGAGCCAAAAACACAGCCTGCAACTCCAGGAAGTTGATGTGTTCCCAGCTCTGCCGCTGGGACCATGTTCCCTGTGTCATTTGACCCTGCCATGTTGCACCCCAGCCCATGGAGGATGCACCCGTGAACACAACTTCTTGACGACACGGGAGGGACCCCTTGTGTCATAAACAACCTCACCCTCCACTGGCCAGAGACTGAAGACACTGAGGGCCACCCGAAGTCTCCTGCGACGATGAGCGTACCTTGTGGAGTCCAGATTCAAAGTGTTCAACCACATCTGGAGGGACGCAATGACAGCAGCCCCAAGGGCACCACGGCGGATGCCGCCGTAAGCATGCCCAGGAGTCGAAGATACCGCACAATATAGAGTCACGTGGGTCCCCGGCAGGTCACAGGTGACTTTGTTGTCATTAGTACTCGACCTGCGCATGCGCAAGAATGATCATTCAGTGCTTTATGGCAAAACGGCTTGCCATAGAAGCACCGCCTCTGGTGGTCAGGAGGGATGAAATAGAACTGATTTTAAGGAAACATGAAAATGGAAAATATGTGCAGTTTAAAACATGAACAGCAGGTGGCAGCACTCAATTCAGACCTGAGGAATTCATCCTTTTTTTCTCCCCAACTTATCAATTTGAAAACTGTGGAAGTTGACAGTGATTATCCCTTCTCTATTTATTTTTCTCTAAAATAAAAATTTTGGGTTTATCCTGCGAATTAGAGTCACGTCTGAATGTTTGAATTAAAATAATGTATTTCCTATAAAGAGTTCAAAATGTGTTTTGTAGTTTCTGTGCTGTACTTGAATGTACCATCTGTTGCTCATACAAGGTTTAATAAGAGAAACATTTGAATCAGAAAAATCATTGATTTCTAGTGAGCTAATAAACAAATTATTTTAGTTTCTCCCAAATTAAAAAAATTTAGGAGAAGCATTTTCTACTAAAAACGTGTTATTTTTACGGACCAAAAATCATGGTGTCCTGAGGAGGAAGACGTTTTTGACCAATAAATGCTCATAGGTTAACTGTCAACCAACGGCTAACTGCTGCAGAGTTAACAGTTTGTTTCACCTTAGAAAATTTTGAAAATTTAAATTTGTAAATTAATTTACATCTACATGGGGATTTAAAAATATGTGCCAATAAAACCCTGAATAATACATTTTTATTGCATTTTCAAAATCGGCACGCAAATTTGGTAATGCACATTTACGCTGGTTTAACAAATGACATACAGTTCCATTTTTATGTCTACCTCTTAAATTTTGCACTAGGAATTGATCTTTAATGCGAGTGATCTTCAACTTTTTATTTAAAAAAGTGAAAAAGTCCTAAATGAAGAACAAAGTTTGGTAAACAACAGTCCCACAGAGTGCAGAATAAGTTTGGAGCCACAATAAAAAAGCGACATAGATAAAATGAACTTTAAACTTTAACATTTCTTTATTAAAAGTCCATGATTATTATTTATTATTTTGTTTCCTCATCTGAATATTTTACATTCTAAAGCAGAGAAGAAAAGGTTCCCTATAAGTAATGAACACAGGTAGATAGTATCTGTTTTATAGGTCACAGCTGAGCTGAGATTAAATAAAAACATTTTATTTTTCTGGACTCCACTGGGAAGTGGTTTTACATCATTTTTCCTCGCTCAGCTGTTTGTTAAACCCCGGGTTTGGACCCAGACCTTGCTCCATGGCTCTGGACGTTGGTGTCGCGCACGCCCCCTGTAAGACAAGCTGCATGCACACTCTGAGTTACTGGAAGCTCTCCTCACTCATATTGATTGCAAACAGCGGGGTTCGCAACAGTTAGCGTGACTTGGAAGAGATATATAAGCTTTTCCAAACGATCCCTTCACTGCAGCAAACCTCCTCTGTGTGCATTAGAGGTCGGGAGGAAGTGAACCGACTTCTTTAGACCATCACTTTCTAAAAACGTTTGTGGAGGGAAAACTCCATAACATTCATGTTAAAATACTTTCAGTTTTATTGATTGTATATTCAAAACAATATACAATTTAGGAAGATGGAGGAGAAGCAGAGTTGGTTGGTAAATAGTTACATTTACTTGAGAAACATTAAAACAAAAAAAAACTTTTAAGAGTATTTTTTTTCTAAGCTGTACTTTTAACTATTACTTGATTAAAGTTTCTGAATTTTCTAACCACTGAATAAAAAACATGTTTTGACAAAAATTTCACCTGACAGACACATGCACCTGTAGTTTTTGTTTCAGTTCAAGTTTTTTATTGAAAGAAATTGATTTGGAAAACATTTCTTTCTTTTTTTTTACTTGTATGAATTATAGTAATTTTGAAATACCTACATTTTCACTTAACTTTATATTTTGGACCATCTGAGGATGTAATTTTTAAATATTAAATAATAATCTGATGAGTTACTCAGTACTTGAGTAAACTTTTTACTGAATACCTTTTTACTGTTACAAGCGATCATTTAAAATGATCAGTTTCTCTGACTTTACTTTTTATAGGTATGTGTTTGAACAACTTTTATGAACAACTGACGACATGTCTCTGAAATTCTACACACGATTTTAGTATTTACTGTCAAAAAATAATAAATGGACAAAATAACAAAAAACATGTAATGTAAAATCCGCTTTTTTTATCTGTTAGATAAATTTTATTGTGTACTTGTAGTCTTCAAAATGCATAAAAGTTTAATTTTCTTCT